AGTAGAGACGGGGTTTCACCATGTTGACCAGGATGGTCTCGATCTCTTGACCTCGTGATCCACCCGCCTCGGCCTCCCAAAGTGCTGGGATTACAGGCTTGAGCCACCGCGCCCGGCCTCTAAAATTTTTTTTAGTTAAAAAATTTAAAAGAGGATATCACAATTTATTGCGATATTTATTTTAACTCTTGTCTCCTCAATATGAGAAGTCTTCCAATGACATGTCCCTTTAGTTTTAAAATATTTTAGATTTTTTGCCTTTAGAAAACGTTAACATTCTGGTTTTCATTGTACTAATGAGATCATTTTTATTTGTTATTATTTGATCCTGTATTAGTAATTCAGGTATTTCTTTGCAACATAAAAATTCCATCACATAAGTTCTAAGAAGTTACAAAAAGATTATTAGACTATACATTTATTTTATTAACTATTTCCCAGGCATGCATCACAGCTTATAGAATGCTTGCAAAAGTGCATACCATTGTGAAAAGCCGCATCTTGTACAAAACAGTATGTTGAATAATCCTTGTCACTTTAGCAAAAAGTTCAACAGAGCAGTGACTGTGTATTTATTCATCTGGAAATTTAGAATTTTCCTTCTTTGTGACACAGACTTTTAAAAAAATCTCTACAGGCCAGTGACATATCAGGCATTTCGGGAATGTACACTGGAGACCGCAGTTCATGCCAGCGGCTGGAATAAGGTATCAACACAATGATCTTTTCTCTTAAAGGGTTTTACTGTATCGTTTACTGTGTTAATGATAAGATGGAGGAATTGCCAGTGTCATGTAGCAGGAAACTGTTAGAGCTCGCTCTTTAATGCATAAATCTATGTTAAGTGGATCTTTTTGGTTAAACTAGTTTTTTAAATTAACACTGCAAGGTCCTGCTTGACTCAGAATTATGGGTTCTATAGGATGGCCCCATCCTTTCTGTCCTGAATTTCCCATCACTTCTTCATTTCTCTGTGTTAGACATGACGTTTATCTCCAGATGGTTCTATCTTTATTAACATGTGAGTGTGTCTTGGGGGAAAAGAATAAAGACTTCACTTGGGAGGTAGCCTCTTCCTGTTCCCTTAGATGGGTAACACCATTTGTGTTTTATAACTCACACCGTGTCTCATGTCACATCCCATTCTGAGCAGCCCAACCATCCTTTGCAGAGACAGAATGGATTTTATTAGGTCTTGTTTATTATTTAGCTAATTAGGTAGGTAATCAGAAAGAAAAATTAAATGACTTGCCTAGAATCCCTTGACTAGTAAATATTGGAACCAACACTAGAGCTAAGATCTGATTCTAGGCTCTGTATTTTTTCACTGTACATACTACTTATCTACTATCTTAGACTGTATTATCTACTCAGCACCTTGAGAAGGCAGGGTGTAAGGGAATGCAGTATAGGGTGGCTCAGTGCAATATGAGAAAGAAGGGCAGCCCTGAGGGATACAGTGCTGGAGATGAGAAAATTCAGGACAGTTACTTTTACAGACACGGATCACTGTTCAGAATTGTCTGTCATATGAGTCAGACCACGTGCACTCATATACCTAATTGATGTATATTAGGTATGTAATCAAACTTGTCTTAGCTTTGCCATGGACTGGATGTACGTCTGTGGTAGTTTCTTTTTAAAAAAAATTTCAACTTTTATTTTAGATTCAGGGGACGTGTACTTCCAGTTTTGTTGCATGAAGCTCTCTGAATCTTAGTTTTCTCATCTGTGAAATGGGAAACAATTATATTAGCCTCATAAGTTTTATTAGAATAAATGAGATAATACATGTTCAGGGCTTATTAGCATGTTATCTGGCACTATAGCAAAGCCCCATAAACAGCAGCTGTAACATCGGCTTTAACACATGGGACCTCATTCCCAAATAGTCACTATTAATAGAGTATTCGTGTGTTACCTATTGGTATATAATTTGTTAACATATCTATTT